AATGTAAGCAGATTGGGTAGAATTACTGGAGGGCATCTTGTTTAGGGCAAGGAAAAAAGTGAACTGTTAATTCACCTGACCTTACTTGCAGCTGAGGCAGATGGTAACAGCAGTAGACTTGTCAGAACTGTAAAGGATTTGGAATGCCTGAAGTCACCCTACATTTGAAATTGACTTTTAATTAAGCCAGCAGAATAAAGGCAAAGAAAGACCTACCTTTTCTTTTAATAGTTTCTCTAGCCAAAGTACAACTATAAAAGCATTTTTAATCAGTATGGAATTGGACCAAAACATGTCTTGCTCAATCTAAATATGTAGGAAAGTTTTCATTTCACAAGAGGTCTGCATGCTAGTTTGTTGTGCAAGACAGCTCCCCTGGCCATTACTGGGAGAATAATTCAGCGCTGAATTATTCTCCCAGTTCTCAATGATAAAACTTCTGTTAATTCTGGTATGTTGAAACAGTGTCTGTTCATTCTCTGCAGCTGCACTATCATGCAAATCTTTGCATGTGGAGTGAGCACATCTGGTTGTCTGCTAATATTAAATTATAACCAGTTTGAGGTGTTTGTCTCCTGTATGGCTGGTCAACAGCTCATTTTCTTAATGCAGACATCAGTGAGGAAATAGCAACCCTTAATGTATTTTAAAGGAACAGTTAAATTGTTTTGACTGATAAGATTCATTGACCTCATAAAAGGTTTTTTTTTCTGATAAGACAGCTGCAAGTGAGATCAGAATAAGTAATATATTAGAAAAATAACCTTTTATCAGTTTTGTAGGGAATATGGTTGGAAGAATGAAAGACTGCAATGAAAAATGTAATTCATATAGGAAAAAGACTGCCTTAGCTTGCTTTATGTTAAACAAAATATTAAATGTCATCCTCTTCAAACTTCTTAAAGTATCTAACTGAAACACAGTATGGTTATGGTGATTTTGTCATTAGCACTCAACAGTATATAAACATTTTAAAAGGTGGCATTTTTGTTGGAGTTGGCTTATCATGCATTATGTACACCACATTCAAGAATAACTCTTTTACTAGCTGCAAACAGTAAATACATGTAACAATCATATATAAAAACATTTTTCACCTATATTACATATTGGATGTTAATGAAGACTTAAAAATGCAATGCTTTTATTAATTTGCATATAGGTTTAATAGTGAATGATCTGAGGGGAACTGCTACGTCATTTTCTGGTTTGCTCTTCTGCAGCTATGTGTAGGAGTAGTCTTAGCTTGGCTCTGCTCAACAGCCAGGTCTGCAGAAGGTTCATAGCTGCAGAAGGGAACCTGGAAGTGGTCAGAGCAGTCACTGACTTATCAAGTTCCCATCTAGAATTCTGCATCAGCATTGCTTTCTAAATGAGCCTGATCTTGAAAAAGGAAATCTAATATTTACTGATTTTGCTTTGCAGTTGCTGTTGCAGAAACTGTTTCATGATGAATATTTAGACCATTCATGCCACACCTGTACTGAGCTCCTGATATAACAAATATTTATTCTCTGTGTTTGTGTAAGGTCTGTTGAGAAAAATCTGCTGTAAAGAGGATAATGACATGGCCATCTCCCTATTTCATGAGGATGGTGAATTAATTGTTAGTTACTTTGGAAATCCCAGAGGTGGCAGTGCAATCCATTGTGTTAGGGATTATATAAACACAGAGGACTTTGTCATATTGCATTTGTCGTTTGAAGTCTCAGCTTTGCAAATACGTATGTGTTTGCTTAGCTTAACTATTACGATTAATGCCATAGTAATTGGTACCTAATATTGAGCAAAATATGAGGATAGGACAAATCACACAGAAAAGGCACAGAGCAGAAAAAGGAAGCAGTTAAAAAGCCTTCAGTTAATGTATTAGGTATATGTTAAACATATATTACATAGTCATCATTCTGTTGTAATTAGAAAATAACTTGTCTTGATTTGAAGTTCTGTTAATATTTCCCTCCTAATTACATCAGTCTAATTAATACAAATATTCAGACTATTTGCTCTTTATTGCTGCTTTTCTCTTTATTAATCTCTTACCAAAGGAAAAAAAAAAAGATTAAAATGAAAAAGCTTATGAAAGCTGGGGATGAAATCTGTAAGCAGGTGATAACTAAAGTTTTAGCTTACCCGAATTAAAAAAACTAACAGCAACAAAGAAAGCAAGCTAAACAAGTGCAGTTAACAGAGATGCAAATAGATATCAGATTCGAGCAATGTAACCCATGCCGCACAGTCTGATTAATATTAACACTTAAGCTGCAAATATTCTTCATAATTCTGGATTAAATACATTTTCCTATGCTGAACAGTTTATTATGCATAAGCTCTAACTCCACATCCAGTTCAAAACTGCCAAGAGCAATAAGAATTTTAATAGTGATGCTTAATGTTAAAACAGATACTCATCTGGAAGACAGCCTATTGCATATGACTGTTGGAATTCTGGCTGGTTAAGTTATGTTCCATAGATAATGATATAATGCTTGTTGTGATGCTATAATACAATTCTATGATGCTTCCACATATCTCAGATCTTGGTTGTTTATTTCTTGTATAACTTGTTGAGCAAACCCAGTTAGTATGTTTCTTCAGGTATTGTCAATCATTTAAACCTGTGCTTTCAGCAATTGATCTTTCTAGTTAAGATGTCTTACTTCTCCCTCTCCTTCATGACCAGAAATGGATTTGGGAACATTTCTTAAAAAATTAGTGACATTTACAGGTTCCACAGCTGTGGCAAAAGCTTAATATGGTGCTTACGTTTTCTAAGGCAGTAATGCGAGTTAGTAGCTCAGCTGTCTTCCACTTCACTATGGGCAGCAGTGACTTGTGCTCTCCTCCTTGAGCCTTGTCCACACTTGCAGCTCTTAGTTCCTGTGGCTATGAAGGATTCCTGTACTGTATATAGTGTGCCGTGGCCTGCTCACAAACTTTACAGCAGTTCTACCTCTGTCTCTTGTGTTGTGCCAGGTGTGTGGTGTATAGGTATCTTGTGTACAGATATCTAGTATTATCAGCATTCCTCCTAGATCATCATCTGACATTATCTACTTTCTTGTCCATTTAAACTTGTGGTTACTTTTTTTTCATTGCACTTTCTGTCTCTGTCACGTGTAGTATCCATAATGTCAAAGAATTATTCTTCTTTTTCTGTGTGTGTCACTTTCACAAGGAAGAACACACCCTCTATTTAAAGTCATTGGCGATGTTAGGTGAAAGACATTATGAGACCTCACTTGGAGTACTGTGTACAGTTCTGGTGTCCTCAACATAAAAAGGACATGGGACTGTTGAAACAAGTCCAGGGGAGGGCCACGAGGATGATCAGGGGACTGGAGCACCTCCCATATGAAGATAGGCTGAGAAAGTTGGGGCTCTTCAGCCTGGAAAAGAGAAGGCTGCGTGGAGACCTCATAGCAGCCTTCCAGTATCTGAAGGGGGGTTACAGAGATGCTGGGGATGGGCTATTCATTAGGGACTGTAGTGATAGGACAAGGGGTAATGGGCTAAAACTTAAACAGGGAAAGTTTAGGTTGGATAACAGGAGGAAATTCTTTCCTGTTAGGGTGGTGAGGCACTGGAATAGGTTGCCCAGGGAGGTTGTGAATGCTCCATCCCTGGCAGTGTTCAAGGCCAGGTTGGACAGAGCCTTGGGTGACATGGTTTAATGTGAGGTGTCCCTCCCCATGACAGGGGGGTTGGAACTAGATGATCTTAAGGTCCTTTCCAACCCTAACTATTCTGGATTCTATGATTCTGTGAAATCAATAATTGAAGTTTCTGCTTTGTTACTACAAAACCTTGGTCTCTTAGCTGGAGAACTGTTAAAGAGAATATAGTAAGCAGATGTCCGTGGTCTTTTGATTTACACACTGTTGTATTCAAGATGGCACATCATATTTCAGAGTCAGTAACACATACGTAATGGGACTTAATTATTGGTTTCTTCGCAGGAGTAAAGCTTGAGGACATTGACTACAGTAAACATGTTTTGAAGTTTTAATAAGATTTTAAACTTCAGAGATACTATGTTGAAAGTTATCTGTAGCTTGGCAAATTTAGGTTCCTTTTGAAACTGCTAAGTCTTAAAAATTATACATACCTCTGTGTATCATGTTACACAGAAAATTGTGTCCTTTAGACAAAAAAAGAGGGGGTTGTTGTTTCTTGATAATAATATTTTAGCATGTACAAGTACATGGTGTGACTTGAATCAACTGTACCTCAATATGAAAACCAGGCAATTCAAAATAATTATTACATAGATGCATTTTGGGCAGAATTATTATACTTTTTGTAACCGTTCAATAGAAGGAAAGCAAAACAGTATAGAAGAATGTAAAGGCATTTCAGCGTGCAAATAAATTGTAAAGTCCTTTGAAGTATCGTGCTTTCTATAATAACAGGTGTATGTTTTGTTTTCATTAAGACCTTGCTTGGTAAAGATTTGGCCTTTAATAAAAATTCTTTGAGCATGAGCCTTGGTTTTGTGTAAGATTGGAACCCAGTTCCTTTAAACCTATGACATAACTACCAAGCAGCTTGGAGAGCAAAATCAGGCCTTCTTAATTTGTTTTGCCTCACTGTATGAAAGTTTTAGTAACATAGTCCAAACCATTGGCTCATGTTGATTCATGAAAAGTATCTTACATAGGGTTTTTTTTTGCATTGTTTCACTGTTCTCTAAAAGAGATTATATTACCAAAATGGTAATTTCCTAGTGGGAAAAGGTACTTAACAATCTCTAATTTATAGACTTGCAGAGGATCAAGATAAAATGTGTTTTAAAAGCTGCTTTTGATAATTCTTGTATTTGCCTAATTAGAATTTAATTCTTGTTATTCTCTTGATTAGAAATAGCTATATGAATATTTGTTATTCATCAAGTATTTAAACAGTTGTCTTCCCAAAATATTATTTGGAAATTAAGATTACTTGATTTAATTAGGCCTTTCAAGGCATAATTTATTACTCACAAATTATAATCTTCTCAGTTTCTTGGCAGTACGGAAGTGGAGCAGCCCAAAGGCACTGAAGTTGTAAGAGATGCTGTTAGAAAATTAAAGGTAAGAAGGAATTTTTAATAAGCTATAAATGGAATGTATTCTTCGCTTGTTTTCAGAGATAAGACACATTGTGGTTTTAGGTATATGCTAGAAGCAGTCGCTTTTACTAATCTCTTCATCAGTGTGTAGGTACTTATGTCTTGTGTTATTTGGTGTTCTTCTGTACAAATACTTAGTTCTAAATTATGCAACTATTTATAATACAAAGTTTATATACTTTAATACATAATGCTTGTTCTTTGGAAAATTTAGGGCTTCATCAATACAAACTTAGGTAGCAACAATTTATTTTAGCTGCCATCCTCACTTTGTGGCTGTTGAGTACCTCTCATGATGGCACTCCGAACAGTTTGCCAGAGAATTTAAGAAAATGAACTCTTCCTAATGACATCAGTAATGCCTGACCTGCATTTCTCTGGGCTGTATGTTGCTTTCTGTGAGCCCCACTTTGGTGAGTTGCCTCTTGCTGCAAAACATAGAGTACCCTCCCACTTAAAGTAAGCTGTTCATGGCAGAGAACAGGAGTAAGAATGTTAGACCATGCCATAAGTGGGCTGTGATAGCTCTGTGAGTACTGGCTGTCCCTGACTGCTTTTCACCTTAAACTAACACGTCTGATCCACATTGACTGTTAGACTGGATGGGAATGTATGTGACACTGGCATGAATGTTGTTCACCCTCCAGCTGTGATAATTGGTGATATGTCTGGAAATAAAGCTGTAGTGAGATAATAGGGCTTAAAACAAGCCAAGGGGCATTATTGCCTTGTCCTTTAGGTCTTTGTGTTGTGTTGGAAATGGCCTGTGTGCACAAACACCATCTATGTGCTGGTACACAGATGGCTGAGAAAACCAGACATTTAAAATTTCTTCTTGGTTACGTGTCTTTGGGCAATGAGGGACTCAGCAGCCTACTCAAAAGTATCCTAGTGAAATGACTTATTGAGGGTTGCTAACAGGTAACATGGCTTTGACTTGACTATTTGAGCAAGAGCTCATATGCTTAAAGCTCTACAAATGCTATGAGTTGTGGTAGGGAATGCTGATTTCATTTGCCTGCTAGCTCACATTGATGTAGAATTCCATTGTTTCATGCTTAGCTGCTTACAGCCATTGGAGCATTATTTAGGCGTAATAGACGTAAAAATTGTTCTGCCTATTATTGTACTTTCTATAAGTTTTTGTGGGTTTTTCATTATTCATTTAAACAGAAGTTCCTTGGAAATGGACAGAAAAATTTGGAAATCAATACACAAAAGTTTGATTCTGTGTTGTTACTATAATAAAGGAAGAAAGAAGTCATGAAACACTATTCACAGCTCAGCTTTTAGGACTGAAGTTTGCCTTAAAAAAGCCATCTTTACGAGATTGGTTAGTATTTTTGCTCAGGTATCGAAACAGAAGTTCTTTGCCATTATTTTTGCTCTACCAACGTAGTACAGCTGCCTTGAGATTCGCTTAGTCAATTCTTAGACCATTTTATGCCAAAAAGATTTACTCTTCTGCAGTTCGTCAGAGACATTATTGCCTAGTTGTTTTCAAGTGTTTTAGGCTAATGTAAGTATGACCCTTTTTTTAACAATTGCAGCATGCTACCAGTGGAAACAAAATGTATGGTTTTGAGTGAATTTCATACAGTTTATGGCTGATACTGGAGTGAAGACTGTTGTTTAGATATTTTGTGTTTATACAGTTCTATTACCCTGAGCAAAGTAAATTCCTTGCAGAAATCTGTCAAGATAATATCTTGCTATGGAGAAGTTTTGGTTCTATTTTTATGATGTTTTATCACACTCCTCCCAAGTAAAGCAGCAGCTCTCTGTCTGTCTAACTGGGGAAACTCCAGGCTACCCTGAGCTCTCGCTGATCACTGGAGGGTTTTGGTAGGTTGGGTTTTATGATTTGGTATCTTGAAATAGTTTGCTTTGAAAGCAAGACCAAAAAATATTTCAAGTAACTGTTCTGTTAAGTATAGGAAGAGGCAGAACTATTCTAGCTTATCTGTCTTGAGGGAGGGGACAGCACACGCAGACAACAGTTGCCAGCCTAGCACTAAAACATAAAAGTAGAAATTTTTGGTATATACATGTTGTGTCATTGAAGTATGTAGATACCTCTTCTAACATTTTACATGTTCCCTAAATAAGCCTCCTTGGAGAGATACATGTCTGCATTGTTGCTGACAGAATTACATTACTTTCATCAAGCTTGGAAGTTTGGAGCTTAGAGTTCAAGTATTACATGGGATCTTATATAATCACAGGTCTATTGGAAAACTCACAAAGTAATTAAAGGCAATTTTTGGAAAGACTTGGAAAATCTTGGAAAAAAAATCAGAAAGTAATAAAGAGGTTTTATGTCTGAAGCAATCCTCAATTAATTGAATACTGTTTTCAACACTGACTTATGTTGCGCATCTGGATTCTTTGAAGAGAAGCCTAGAGGTACTTACGCATGTGTGAACCACACATCTGTGGCTTTTTTCAGAAAATATGAACTAAAAATTTGAAACCAGTGAAAACAGCTTGAAAACTAATTTCTTATATCAAAAGAAAACATATACAGTGGTTTTTGGAGTAGGAGTTTTTGAGATGTGTAACTTGTGATGCTATATTGGTTTGTTGTTTTAATGGATTTGGTTTGAATCACGTTGTTAATCATAATTTGGTTTTAATGAAAGTTAATAGCTAGCAGAAAAGCAGCTGACTTTCTTAATATTTGGAGCTATTTTTATGGGGGGGGGGCAGAATGGCACAAATAACCTTTTGGAGTCATGTGCTTACAGTGATTTATAGACCATGAAATACTGTCACTGAAAACTATTTTTCTTAAGCCCTCATGTCATCAAGCTCTGTTAGAGGAGACATTTGATACACAACTCTTCACTTCTTTTAAATCAAAAGCTCTTAACTTTTTTACAGCACAGAGACTCTTTTGCTAAACGTAGGTTTATGCAAAAACTGTAACATCTATGAACTTTTCATCCATCCTGTGGACTTACTTGTACCAGCAGGTGGAGCTGATGTTCTACAGTAAAATACAATAACTTGCAGGAAATTCTTCCTGATGCTTCAATGTACTTGTTCTATCTGAAATACTACTACTTTGTTTTCTTGACGCTTGACAGTTTTGCTGGGTCAGTTGCAATTCGAATATAGAGGGATTTTTTGGACGTCTTTATTAATTTTTCTAGAGAGTTATCCAGTATTTTTTTTCAAGTTAGGGTTTCCCCTCCTGTTTTCAAATTTCTTGGAGCTGTGCTGCAGGAGAAAGAAGACAGTTGGACGCATATGTTTTAAAGTGTTTTATTTTTATTTTTAAGATAAGGCCAACTGTTCTCATAATTCATTAGAAGCAGGTTTTTTCTACTCTGACTAATTTATAGAGTGAAATAAAAACTAAGGAAAATGGTACCAAGGTGTGACAGAACTATCAGAACATGCCTACATTATTCACATGTGCTTATGCTGTCAAATCACACTTTATAAAGTGGAATGTTTACTTTCCTTGATTAATGAAGGATGTAACTGCTAAATCAGAATGTAGGTATTAATTTGGTCCTTCTGAAAAAGTGCTCGAGGGGTTGCCAGGGGCATAAAAAGGTGAAAAGATCAGCATAACAGATGTAAAGGACATCATATAAGAAAATGCACACTAATAAGAAGCTAGTGTGGAGGGGTGTTAGGGATGTTGTGGTTTAAACCAAGCCGGTAACCAAGTACCGTGCAGCTGCTCACTCACCTAAATTTTGGGGTATCAGTCTCCTTTTTTCCTGTTTTCTGTAAATAAAGATAACCAAATATAATGTAAAAAGAGTTAATCACTGTGAAGCCACTTGAAATATTCTTATTCAGCCCCTTGGATAAGGATACAGAAATTGAAGAGTGCACCTCCATGCAGGCTGTGATGCTGTCCTGCTGCTGTCCTTAATAGGCCATCATTGGATATTATTCTGTGGCTATAATAGTCCATAATGGATATTATTCTGAGCTGCCTTTTGTGTCAAAGCTGGGTTTCACTTGTTGAAAGGACAGAGGAAGGTGGAGTACAGAAAATCTTGTAATATTGAGATAAAGATGTTTCCAGACAAGCCTTACAGCCATGGCTGTTCTCTTTCGAAGTGCTGGAGAAAGCAGAATGTGTGGTCTAGGACCAGCCAGGGACAGCCTGAAGACCAAAGCACATCAAATGAGAAGAGTTGAAGAGAAAACCTGTTTATCCTCTCTCAAAAAAAGCAACCAAAACCAAAGGCCACTCCAACAAACCACAAACAAAAACACCCAACCATAAAAAAGAAACCACCAAAACCTGCAAGAAATCCCCAAAATCCCACACAACCAAACAAAACAACAAACACTCCCCCCACCACCCCTCCCCCCGCCCCCCCCCCCCCCCCCAAAGCCAAAAAAAACCACAACCCCAAACAAATCCAGCAGATGTCTTTGGAAAATAAAATACAGCATGCTCCACAGAAATGGATTTCTGAAACAGCTTTCTCCCTACCCAGCTGAGAGATTCAGGTTTGCATATCTGTGGCCTCTTCATCCTTCTCTTTTGCCAGCTATTTTCCAGAAGTCATAATTTCATTATACCAACATAAAATGTGCATGAGGGTTTAGACCATAATATGACCAAAAAGGTGACACATAGTCACAGCAAAAGAAATAGGGCCTTTTGTTGTTTTTCAGGGATCTTTCCTTATAATGAATATAGTTACGAGAAAAGAGGGGAAGCATCTTGTCAAAGCCAGGTATAAAGCTGTGTCTCAGTTTAGACAACTGTGTTGCCCTCAAACGTCCATGTGAAATGCAATGTCTGTCGTCTCCCTGGAAGCCTGTGTAAAATGAGTCATGGACACCCTGTTCCCTGGGCTGAAGATTAACACTCAAATCACAGAAACATCTGCTTTTGATGTTTCAATTTTTTTTTTATAAACTCTTGAATTGTGCAGTGAGGTGTAAAATATTAAGATAGAAACAAATAGTTTAGCTTGGCATCTCTTAAATAGATTTTGTTATAATTTGTTTAGCCATTATTTCTTTAACTAAAGCCCTTGGCTGTTTTTAAAGTGTGATTTTTTTTTTTCTTCATATTATTTTCATTGATTAATCCTCTGATCGTGGTTTGCAAAGACTTAATGCACAAGCATTTCAAATACAATTTTAGTAAGAGTCTTAAGTATGCAATTTTCCCTGCTACTGTAGTAAAAGACAGGGAATATTCAAGTTTTTTCTTTTATTATTAGAAAAAAAAAATAAGCTAAGTTAACCAATAGCAAAAAGCTTTATTTGTATTTGTTGCTTTCCCTAAAATATTCAAGAGAAATACGATGTTAATTAAATAAAAGCTATCCCATCCCACAGAGCTGCTCACATGATTATTGGGACAAATCTGAGTGTCTTGCCTGAGAGCAATATATGTATAAACTAACAGCTTAAGAATTTGGCACATCGTATCTCTTCCCAAGCCATGTTGTGATTCATTATAATTTTATATCCTTGTCCATTTTGATGCCAATGGGAGGATAGAGATTTTTACCCTCTTAAATAATCTTGTTACTGTGTAAGCTACAAATATTACTTTGTTTCAAATGTGTGCTGAAAGGGGAAGAAAATGCATGTACATCTCCTCTATCTCCTCTGTCCAGAGGTCCCTCACATTCTGTTCAGGTAGAAGTAGTAGAAAAAATAGAAGAAAAAGGAAGCAAATTGGCTGATACCTGACTAAGTTTAGGATTTGCTGTTCATACCCTGCACAAGTCTGGGAGGTAGCCAAACTTGGCATTGTCATGAGAAAGGCAGATATAAAAGAAATTACTGATCAGTATCTCTGTGTTCTGTGTTATTACACAGAAGAGGGAGTGGGCAGGAAAAGCATGAAAAGTAACTGCATCCAATTTTCTAAATCTATCTAGGTGTACTTTTCAGTTACTGTATCCTAGTAAACCTTTGATTAAAAAGTTCATTTGTCTCTCTAGATGCCTCTGTTGAAGAGATTCTTCCGTGTTTTTCTTTCTCCATTAGCTTGGTTTTGATTTGATGGAGTTTCTTATAAAGTGGGCTTCCAGTCCTCTGCTAACACTTTGTAAATATCCTGTAGTTTTTCTCCAATTTGTCAATTGCAATCCTTCTGCATTTAAAAACCTCAGAACACAGAGTCTGAGTCAGTTCTCACAAGCAGCCAATTCAGTGCAGCCATTTTTATCTTCTTGAGGATGGTTTTGAAATATCCAAGGATTGCATTAATCTTCCCAACTGTAGTTTCATGAACAGGTCCACAGTTAGCAGAAAGCCTACCATGACATCAAGACTTTAATTTTCATCTTCACAGGGTGGTTTTCCAAGAAAACAAGTTTGTTCCCATATGTATAATTTGCAAAATTGATATTGCAACAGAGGTGGTTTGTTTGCAATACAGGCAATTTGTGGTGGTCTGGCTGGTAAGGTATTTTCTCTGTTATTTGCCCCTTCATCAGCTTTCATGATCTGCAAGCTTCCTCTGTAATGGTTTAGATTTCAGTTCATGAGTTACTTTTCTCCTTATTTTTCCTCTAGTTTTTTCTGCCTGCAGATTTTATCCGTAATTATTTTCCTTCTGGTCATTGTTCAGTAATGTCATGCTTAAGAAATAAACCCTGCTGGAATACATTAGAAACATATCTTCCCAGTGACAATTTCCTGTTTATAACTGCATGTGGAGGCTAATGTAGCTAAGTTAACTAATATTTTCTTTGTATTGCTTCATTTCCCAAATATAACAGCATTCAAAACTCAGACAACTGCTTTGCCTATTTTGACAAGCTGCATTTTTTGTAAAACCCATAGTGATCACCATTAATTATATCTCACTTGAATTCTCCGGTTCTTGAACTGGATTTAAGCCTTTTGAGAAGGAGATGTGATAGGGCTATTTTGTTTACCCTTTTTTTTAGTATTGGCACAGGAATATCTTCTGGAACTTCCTCACTTGTAAGACTTCTTGGCTACTTGGAGCAAGCTTTGGCCAGCTGTTCTAAAACTCATGCAGTTTATTCAGACCTACTTTTAAAAGTTCTCATGGAGCTGTTGGGGACTCTGAGAAGATGATTACAGTTGGAAAACCAAGCATTATTCTAAACATATACTATGTCTTTAACTCAGTAAAATCAGTATTACTTATGCCTCCTCTGTTACTGCACAAAATATTTGTGAGCTTCTGGTTTTAAAGGGGCACTGTAAAAAAAGCCAGAGTTCATTCAGCTTACAAGGCTGTTTCAAACTGAGATTGCCCCAGGGTTATCTGTTGTATAGTCATGTTTTTGTACACTCTAAAGTACATTGGAAATTGAGATGCCCAAACTGTCCAGGTGATCTGTGGTTTTTGTGGTCATTCCATTTAATGCATAGCAAAGAAAGACAAGCAAAGATCCCTGTTGTACTATGAGAAAGGACTATATAAATCCTCAAAGTTTTATCCGGTAAAAGGACTTAATCAAATTACAAATCAGAAAAGAAAGTTGACAGAGTGGGGGTATTGAAAAAACATACAAAAATTATCTTGGAGACAATTTTAGTTTTATATTAATCTTGGAAAAAATATCTGTGCTAATGAAACATTGATTGGCTTATTATTTTCCTATTTTTTAAAGTGGAGAGTTAAGAATAAAACAGGTTAAACTGCTGGTATAATATTTAAGTCACATTTTGAGGGATTTTTAATTAGTAATTTTTATTAAAGAAAAATTATGTTTTTTTCTGTAGCAAATTTGAATTGTCTTAGAAGGTCAAGAGAAGTTGTTGGCCATAATGCCTGTAAACAAGTGATAAACTTTTTTAAATTTTATTTTCTATAACTATTTTTTTTATTATAAAAAGATGCTTGTAAGATGACCCTCCTCAATTAAAATAAAGGGATCAGAATAGCCATTAAACTGTATTAAAAGTATACGCCAAATATGTGAGAAATATTCTTCAAGATAAATAGGAAAGGAAGAGGATTCAAGAGCTGTATTCATATGATACTGAAGTGAGGCAAAACTAGAAGGTATGTAGAAAAACATTAGAAAAACTACAAGTTATGTTAGATTTGCTTGACTTTTGACTGGTTGTTTTTTCACTAGTGAGTTGTCATGTCTGGCTAATGACTGTAGTGTTCTAGCTGTTGAAATGTAATACGGGTATTTAGATTTAAGTTGGTTTTGAGAATGGCATGGAGTGGTTTAGGTGGGCTGCTTTGTTTGGGTTGGTTTGTTTGGTTTCTGTTTTAACTAACTTGTGAAGCCTGTCAAACTGTATCAGCTCACGTGATACATTAATCAGTAGTAAACTAGATAGGTTATGTTACTATATGAAGTTAATGGGATTAGTTATAAATTAATGTTTAATTACTAAAATTTTCAAGAAGTGTGCTTTCAAAATGAGGAGTAAAATTGGGAGGAAGGGAAAAGCAGGTTAATTGCGTGCTTTTACGGTGGTTTGTAAAACCACTTAATAATTTGCCATGAATAGAGCTGCCTACAAGCAAAATGAAATAAAACAGATGGAGTCAGTCATATTCTGTAAAGCAATTGAGTTCATGGAAAGACTTCCCAAGTACTATACTGGCATAGAAATAATGACAGAGCAAAACCCCAAACCCTCAGTTACCACTTGAATAATCAATTAAAATGAGGGGTTTAGGCATTTATGGGGGAGGTATCAGTTGGCTGCAGTCCAATACTTGATAATCACAATCAGGTAATTCGGTATTCTTTCTTAAAAATACATGAACACCCTTGCTGATGTCCCAGACTCTTTATGCCACTAAAAGTCATTGTATTCACTGGCTCTTTATATATTTAACTTGTACTGATAGTGAAATATGTGCTCAATTATACTTGAGTAGGAGCAAGTTTGAGGACAGTGTGTTCAAACATACAGCTGTTAAGCAGAGACCCCAACTCCTCTGGCCATCAGTGAACCATCATCCTTATTCATGCTTTTAAAAATAGCATTCTAGGGTGTCAGAGACTTTTGAAGAAAAGGGCTGGTAACAGAGCAAAATACAGAACGATTCTGTATCTCTGGTAAGAAAGTTCCCCAAATTCATGACACTTAACTGTTATGCAGTAGCAAATGTTAGGTATTCTGCTTACTTTAGATGCAGTGTTCCCAAGAGAAAGACAGGTCAACTCGAGCTACTAGAAGAGGAGATACAAAAGGATGGAAAATGAGTTGAATAGAACACATAACCTGACCCACTCATGTGTCTAGCTGTGTAGTGAACTGTTATGAAATAAATCTTGAGAATATGGTAGAAGAAATCAAATATTTCTTAGGTGTTGACAGCTGCAGCAGTTTCACCTGTTTAAAAGAACTGATTTCCTTAGAGAATATGGGAAGTTCCATATGGGAAGTACCCTGTATGCGTGTGCACAGAAGTGAGTGTAGAAACAGTGGGATGTGGAAAGCATAAAAGTGTTCACTGCTCAACAACCACACAGTTGGCAAACTGTCTGAAGGTGTTAATGTTTCTCCTGTTCTCCTAGAAGTCTCAAGCAAAAGCTTAAATTAAGTGCATAAACACCAGATAAAAGTTTCAAGAGAATCAGCTAAGTAATTTTAATTTTCTTCCTGAATTACAGGAATATTTGTTAGTGTGCAGTCAGAAATGCTGTTCTGTGCCTATGACTTTGGGAATGGTTGATGTTGTTTGTAAGAGCTTTCTGAAGGAAGGAAGAAACAGTATCAGGTGGAAGGAGTTCAGAAGAAATGAGAAGTAGTTAAAATTAAAATAAATCCCAACATAAAGAAAACGTAGTATTAATGTGGTTGCTGTTCTGTTTTTCATGTTATAGTTTGCAAGACATATCAAGAAATCTGAAGGCCAGAAGACACCCAAAGTTGAATTACAAATCTCAATCTATGGTGTAAAAATTCTAGATCCAAAAACAAAGGTGAGAGACTTCTATGTTTATTGTGCTAAACTAGTAATTAAGTACTGTTTTAAAGATTTTTAATGTTTTTATTGTTTTCTGTTTTTAAAAAGTATTATAATGAAAGCAATTGTGGGTTGGAACTAGATGAGGTTCTTTCCAACCCTAACCGTACTATGATTCTATGAAAAATTCTTCTAAAATACCATTTCTTACTACAAGGCATGGGTGACATCCCAGTTACATGGTATGCCAAAATACAGACTGTAGCTAATGTGCGATTTAATTTTTTTAATCCTTTCGCACCAAAACCTTAAAACTGAGGATGATAGAAATACTGTGATAGATGCTAATACCGCATATGATAAACACCTTTTCAGATGGTGAATGAGGAGATAGTTTGTTTTCGGTGACTCATTCTTCATACCGCTGCCTTGGAATCGCACCTCTCTTTCCTTAACATGCTCATTTTCCCCCTTCATTTCTTGCTTTTAATTATTATTTTTCAAGTTGTATCAACCCTCCCAAGAATGTGTACATTTCTCAAGTGTGTTACCCATTTCTATATAAACTTCATGTAGCAGGCTATAAGCACTACTGTAGGCTTTTCATCTGGCACAGCATGAGAATTCCCACCTTTTCAGCGCATTAAGTCATCCCATTGATGGGTTTTCTGTTCCTTTGTTTGGTCCGGTATTTTGGAAGGGGTTACGTAGTAAGCAAAAGATCTTCCTCACAGAATCAAAGAGGAATAATGAGATAAATATAATCAAGCTAAAAAGTATTTGTTCAATAGTCAGTAATTCTTAACATCTGAATGCTCTCGTGTCTTTTACACGTATGGTGAATGTTGGATTTGCATAAACTATTTGCTACTGCTTCTTAATTGTGGAGTAATTGCTGCCATTCAGACAGTGGTATTTTGAGAAGAGGTAAAGGAAATTTAGTTCAAGGCTATATATATATTTGTAATCCATTTTCAGTTCAGATTCTTAATATAACCACAATTTCAACAGTTAGGCAACAAATATCCATGTCAACTAATTGCAGGTTTTGCATCTTCCCGATGTCATAGGGCAGAAGGGGGTAGTGAACCCAAAAAAACTATTTTAAAATAACAGTTTTAAGTGCCAAAATACATTAGTCTTCCTAACTGTTCATGCGGGGTTTAACATAAATCTGTGGGATGAAAGTTCCCAGGGGAGCAGAAACATTCATATCTCTAAGCAATGTTGTTATTACAACTCAAATAGTAATTAAGTACGAGTAGTCTTTTTCTTTTCCCCACTTTATTTCTTAAAACTACAATTCTTTTTGCACAATTTGTAGATGCTTTGGGAAATTATTCAAATTCCATGTTATAATCGCTGATTAAAGTAATTTTTTCTATGTGTTTTTGGAACAGGTCAGTATTATTACAGAGGAATACTGGTTTATGCGATGACTATTATGGTTTATGCGACGACTGTTAGTTGTGTTAGGAACAGGTGGCTTGCTCATGAATCAGGACTTGATTTTATACCTGGCACTCAAAAAAGGAGGATTGTGGAAAAGTGGTTCTGTCCTTAAATGAAATAAAGTAGTTACATGGATCTAGAAATGTAAAAGAGCCAGAACAAGCATATGTTGTATGTAACTTAAAGAGCAACTGTTAAAGAGAAAGAAATTAAATCTGAGATAGATCTGGGGACATGGGAGAAATAGGATGCACAGAAGAATGGCTGTAAAGACTGAGAACAGGAATGCAAGGAGAAAAGATTGTCTGTACGGTACATCTTTTTGCTAAATGGTTGCATGCAGAGAGGGCATGCCCTTATTTATGAGTTTGTAGCAATCTGGGAACCCCAGTGCTGCACAGAAACTTTCTTCTTTTTTTTTTTAATAGATGACAGTTAATATCTAAACTGCATATTTTCCTTTAAAACAAATGCTTCTTTCCCATGCAATAAGCCAAATAAAATAAAATACCAAGAAGAGACTTGTTGAAGAAAAACAACGAAAAAAGTAGTTGAGATAGTTTATTTCAGTCTTTTCAAGCTCTCTCAGTCTAAGAGCATTGCCACCACAACTTTTTAAGTAGTTGGAACATGCTTTTTAATGGAAAGTGCAATATAGTATTGAAATATGCAAATAATAATGTTTAAAAGCTGTTTTGTGTTGCACCTTAAGTAAGCAGTTATTTAGATGTCTAATTTATTTCTCTATGCTCCTGTATTTGGATAACAGAAGTAATTTTATTTCTATATTAAAGATAGAAAGGCAAGCACTTATTTCAGTGAAATCATTTTAATAAACCCTGGGAGATGATGAAATCTAAAGATGGTACGCACCTGGAAAAAGAACAGGGTATTTTACAGAATCAGTCCCTAAAATTAATTGCACAGAGACACAGATCAACCGTAAAACAAATTTTCTAAAACAGAAATTACTGCCAAGTAAATACTTCCAGATAAATGCTGTCCAAATAAAAACTTCCTGCTTACATTGAGTAAAAATGGGAACATTTGTTAGGAGATGAGTCTGCTAACTTCTGTTATACTCTAGCTTCATTCTTGGGGACTTTCATGTACAGTGAGAGCCATTCGAAATGCCACTGCAGTTTGCCTGCTCTTACGCACATCAGGAAATCCAGAGATGTACTTTGTGTGTCTTTATCCTGAGGAAGTACAGTAATTTTTTGAAAACAAATTTTTGTTTTTTTTTTCTTATTTTCAGGAAGTCCAGCACAACTGTCAACTCCATAGGATATCATTTTGTGCTGATGATAAAACTGACAAGAGAATATTTACTTTCATATGCAAAGACTCAGAATCAAATAAGCATCTTTGCTATGTATTTGACAGTGAAAAGTGTGTAAGTATTCAAGATGCTTTAAGAGAATTTGTGTGACTTTGATTGCTCTGCTTCGAAATAAACCAGGGATGGTTAATAAAGGCAGACAGCCTGCCTTTTGATTGGGGTCACTTTGGTACAGTCTTTCATGCCATTATAATGTCTTGTTAACTTAGATGCATTTATTTAAAGGTGAGCCTTTTTTTTCATTGATCAAAGGTGGTTTTCTGGGACAGTTCTTACTACCCAGCTCAATATCCTAGGCCAAGCATCTGCAGTGCTCTCAAGGAACAGGCTTCATCCCTCCAAGCTTAAAATGTTTGCACAGCTGTTTTGCAGAGATTGCTGCAATCCTGTGGCTGAGATACCCTCACAGGCTCTTCTGAGATGGAACAGGGCAACTGTTCAAAAATGTGCAATAGCAGGAAAAATTAAGATAGGCAATAAAGAAAATGGTGTCCAGCTGAAACAGGGTCATGTGTTTATTCTAGCTGAAACAGGGTCATGTGTTTATTCTAGCAGAAAGTAATAAATAAAAACAGTGGAATCAGCACCAAAAATGGATGTTTTAGGGTTTTTTGTAATCTGAAGCTTCTCTTTTTGTTTTATTATGAAGTAGCTTCATGCAAAGGAAATACTAAGGAAACATTTTTTTTTTTTTTTTTTGGATGCATATTCACTTCTGTTTATATGCAATTATGTAGTATTATGTGTTACTTCACAGTTTCTGGTAATTTTGTTGTTCACCTCCATTGCTTCAGTGCCTTCAGTAGATATTGTTCATAATTACTATATACATCTGTTAATTTCTCTGCAAATTTCTATCCTGTACCTCTTTGCCACATATTTTCCCATAATTTTAAGTTGCCCTTGTAGTCTCCACCCATTAGTACCATTTTTATTCCAGACCCGTGCACCGTTTTTTCTTCTCTCTAACCTGATACTTCACTAGATGTACTTTTTTCCTGTTTCACTCTTTGCTCATTAGTACTTTCAGATTTAAAAGAATTCCACCTCAGTTGGTACTACTTATTTCGGCCAGCTTTTGTTTGTCCTCCCAAGAAGGCAGGACTGCATACTTCCAGTGTCCATTACAGTTTTCTTTTACTGACATAAGCAGTTGCTCTTTAAAGCAGTACTGGTTCAGGATTTTTTGGTCTAATTGGGTAAAAATAATTTCTTGTGTTTTTATTTTTTTTTTATTTATTTATTTTATTTTTTAAATAAAGTTGGCTGGGTGGCTTTTTTTTTTTTCCCCCCAAAATAAAAATATAGAGGGGTTAATTCCTCATTCCTGTAGAATTCAGGTCTTCATGCAACTCTACTGAATGACTTTACTGTTGTAGTGATGGGTAGAAGCCTGAGAGCCTCATATGTTTTATACCAGTTTTATGCATCTAGCCCTTGGTGTTCTTACAGATAGTAAAGGAAAAATGTTCCTCGCATTGGGCAGAATGCTCTGCTTTCATGAGAAAAAATAATTTTCAGGTTTTCATTTCAATAAAGGAGATAAAAGTTCTAGTTTTGTGTTAGCCAGATTAATGTTTTCCAGCATTTCTTGTTCCCCTGCCAGTTGTTTAAAACCACAAGTTATTACTGTGTTTACTTTGTCTACTAAAGTTCTAAGGCAAATGGCATAGCCATGTGTTCACCTTTTATTAGTGCCTCTTGTAAGTCAGCATTTTCTTTCTGAAACCTTTGTGTGTCCTATACTCTTATTTTTACCCCTGTTACTTTTAAAGTAGATTTTCTGCACTGGTGTATATACAGATCATAATATATGATGTGAATCAGCATAGAACTACTAAATTATTCTATTTTGCATGTATAGATTCAAATACTATTTGGTTAGATTTTTTTATCAGAGATACATTTATCTACTGCATACTGTTTGAGATTTTATCGGACTTGTAAAAGTAACTTGAAATCCAGATTTAAAAGCAGTAGGGAGTCAAAACATCCATATGAAAACATGAATCCATTAAAAGTAAAACAGTTTATTTAATGATTGAAAAGCCTGTATTTGCTTCAGAAATCAACAGAAAATAACATACTGCAGCATGCTATCTGTATTTACAGAAGCTAGAGGCATAATTTGTACTAAAAATTAGCTAATTGTGTTCTGCCTATTCAGTCTCCCTTCTTTATCTGCAGTTCTTTTAAGTTGCTTTTGTAGCATTTTCTGTCAAGTTATTTTGCTGAAGAATGTTTGCCATGCTCCTTTGTGGCGTTGACTTCAGGTTGTATGAAGCAAACCCTTTGAACATGATATATGGTATAAAGTATTTTATGATCATCTGAAATAAAAGTAATTATATAAAATATTCTTCTTATACTAATTTCAATCTTATGTTTTATGTAAAGGCGGAAGAGATAACTTTAACAATTGGTCAAGCATTTGACTTAGCTTACAGGAAATTTCTGGAATCTGGAGGAAAAGATGTTGAAACAAGGAAACAAATTGCAGGTTTACAGAAAAGAGTAAGTTCTGAATTATGTTTTTTAAAGAGATAATATGCTACTGTATTATTTTGTTATTTGCTTTTTGTGACAGCATAGTTTCCAGCATTATTCTCAGATTGCTAAGAACTGCAACAGAATAAAAAAAGAAAGCTGAAAAAAGACGTGATAACTGTGAAACAGTATTTTATGTTTTGCCATCTTGCAAGGTCATTAAAGAGAAAAGCAATATATAAGTATGGAAGATAGCAAGATTTAATTCTTGTTTGGTAATCAAATAACTACTGCTTCTAAATCACCATATCTCAGATGAAACTTACTCTCAGTAGATGCTGTTGTGAAATGAATGACTATCCCAATACCTGCTGCAGTAACCACTTACTTTGTAGATTCAAGAATTAGAAACTGAAAACACAGAACTGAAAAATAAAGTTCAAGATTTGGAAAACCAGTTAAGAATAACACAAGTACATGCATCTCCAGTAAGTACATGAACGTAACTGTTATATCTAAATTTATAATCATTGTTACAATAATTATTAGCATCCATTCTGGTTCCAGTGATCGTGATCAATCGTGTAACATGTATGTTGAAATGCGGTACTGAAGTAACAGTAGGATTGTGACAAGCCAAGAGAAATGCAAATTGCAGACTTCCAAATTGTGATTCTTTAATCCCCTTGTCATACCTATTTGTTGCTGCCTAAATCCAGCGAATACTCATTCTAGTAGATTTCTGAGGATGAAGAAGTCTGTTTTGCACTTAGAGGATCTGGTTCACAAATGCTACTTGGGATTTTTCTAGGAATTTCTGTCACAAGCATAGTGTTACTTACAACTGATATTGGCTAAGTGAGTTTTCAAAAATTTTGTCTGTCTTTCAGAAGAGTCATTAGGTCTCAGGAACTAACATGGATAGGTAGGTAAAAAGGAGCAAGTGTGGCTTCCTCATAATTGGAAATTTCTAATGCTTTCTGCAGTTCTTGTAGGTGATTGTGACAACAGTACTTTTTTAAATGATTGCCTGACAGTTTCTTGTATCTAGGTGGATAAGAAAAAAATGCAGGTTTCATTGCAGTCTTATCCTAATGACTCCCCTCTTCTTAGAAGTGTGTTCTATCTATACAACATTAGGTAACTGAAACTAAATAAAATTTCTTAATGTGCATATAGAAAAATTTTAGAAAAAGATGGACTGCTTTTTAGCTGTGCATTTTGGGCTGCCTTGTACCTGCCCTGCATGTACACCATTTCACTTTAAATGGATGTTTAGATTTAGATTTTGGGCAATGTGAAAGGATGTTTATAATGGTGACGGCAATTTTTTCACGAGTGTCTATACACACTCTTGATACTGATTAGACGCTTGTTCCCATGAGGAACTGTCATTTTGTTTTACTAAAATCTAGAGGAGAGCACCATAAATTATAAATACTACATAACTGCCACAGTGGAAGTGTAAATTATGGATGTCTTTTCAATTATGAAGCATTCAGTGATAGGTAGTCAACTTTAATGCTAGATTTAAATTCAATCTAGTTAATTCTTTAATGTTTAATTTTCGTCAGTTGGGATAGCAGCTAGCTTGATTTTAATTATGAATACAATAACTAAATGTATCTTTGAATTCAGTTAAACAAGCTCTTAAGTCTCTTGTGATAGAAACATTTCTCTTTCATTTAAATTAATGAAGAATTTGGGAATTACATTTAGTGACAAAATTATTAATAATGATCTAAAATATCCTGTAGTTTGTGATTTATTTTGTCTTGTAAGGCAGTATTGTCTCATTCCTTATTAAAAAGGTGAGATCAAAAGTTGTAAGTTTGACAGTCGTTTGTAAATACTCTCCCTAGATGGTGTTTTATTGTTAATTACTACTGGTACAATGAATATTCATATTGCTCAAATAACACTTATGTTACAACAAAATTATTTAATATTGAGAATGATTAATATTAAAATAATAATGCATTATAGTAAATCAGTACCAGCTGTTAGTTTTCACACATCATTTTATTGTTTTATTTACTTCTTAGTCTTTAAAAAGAAAACCACAGACATATCCTGTCACAGATTTGAGTTTCCTCATCATTAGAATTACAGTAAGAGCAATCTAACAGCCCATTTAATATCTAGATCAATTCTGCCACAAAATAGATTTATATAAATGAATAAATAATTGGAACAAGTTGCCCAATTTGTATGTACTCTTGGAGATAATCAGTTGAGCAGCTGATAATAAAACAAACAGACAAAACCAAACACATTTTTAGGAAAATGTCTTTCTTCAATTTAGGAACAAAACTGTGTCCACAAAATGCTATTAACTTTTGTACCAAGAGACATCATTCAAGTAGGTCTGTTTTAAGCGTAATTGTGTACCTTGTAAATCAGAGCTCTTAAATATGGTAGCATAAGAGTAAGTACATATAAATTCAGCAATTAGGTTGAAAATAAGTGAAGAAATGGGATAGGGAGGTTATGAATTGACTTCAGTATAGGGAAAAGAAAGCATAAATATTTTTAAGATTGAGTCCAATAAAGGGATCAGATGTCAAAGTGGGTGGAATAGCAGTGGATGTGATTTGATGATACCTGTCTCTTCTTTTACTATGAGCAACAAATATGTATGAAAGGAAATTACAATTCATAAGACAATTGCCTATTATAGTTTGCAATTAGGTTTTTATATTTTTAATTCAATTCAACTATAATTTCAAGAATGAGATTGCAAAACATCAACTCCTATTAGAAAAAGAGCAGAAGTGGCACAAAGAATATTTTCTATTTCCACTAATTTCTATGATGAAAAAGATCACTTTGGTTTTAAAAAACTTATGAAAGATTTTTTTTTTTCTGTATTTAAATTTAAAACTTTTAAGTACCATATGGCTAAAAATATCTGTAACTGCTGCTCTGAGTCTTCCTGTTTTGGAAGACAAAATTTTCCATTTTGAAAAGAAAAATAGCAGTTTTATCTTGTGACTATTTTGTCAGAAGTAAAACTTCTTAATCTGGCAATAGTATTTTGTTAAATACTGAAATAAAATAGCTTGCATTAATGAAGCAGAGTATGCAGCATCAGGAGTAAGATCTCACCTGAATCACTTCTTAAGTACTTTTGGTTAGATATGGGAAAACTTGCTTCCCTGCAGATACTCCTTTTGTTACATAATGTGAATATAACATAACCATTCCCATTATTTAAAGGAGATTTATTAAATGACAGATTTCAGGTTTCCTCACAGCTCTCATATTCGGGCTGTTGAATTATGAAGAGATACCAGTGCCATATGAGTGATTTCTGAAACTTTTTTAAACAGAATTGGTAGGAAGTTTAAGCCCTCATAGTTGATATGTAAATGTGATAAAAGTATATGTGCCATCATTACTAGCATTGCAGTAATTTGTAAAGAAATAGTTTCAGGAGCCAACTACAGATGACTATAAGGTTGCTTCTGGTTTTGCTTAAATAGTACCTTGGATTTTCATATCTTATGCTTTCTTTTTTGTATTTGGATGCTTACATGTACTTTCTTAACATTTGCCAGCTGTGCTGAAATGGCTTTCCTGTCTCTTGACTGTTCTCTTCCTTTAGTGATTAATGCATGGTCACAGACACACTTGCTAATCAGCAATTGATTTAACACTTCAGAAGTCAACACTGGCAACTTGATTAAACAAGTATATGGTTAAGGAAACAGAAGGTATTTCAAGGTCCTGTGATGACAGTTCCCAGAACATGACAAATACAGACACAGATATCGTGTTCTGAGCTGCGTCCTCTTCTTCAATCCTGCATTGCTATGGAATGGAGACCAGAGGCCATGTGGTCTAAGCAGGCACAGTGTCAGGCTGACAGTGGGTGTCTATTTTCCTTTCCTGTGAGAGAAGACTTAGGGCTTTTAATATTTACTGCACCTGTAGTATGAAACAGTGCTGTTACAGACACCAAGTGATGTCACTGCCATGCTTTATTTGATAAAATACTTTCTAGTACGGAAAGTCTTTCCCACTTGTCAGTAACTGAAAAACCATGGTAAAATTTTTATTCAGTGCCAGTCTATCATTTATTTATTCCTGCTTCTTCCATCTGATGTTGATTGATTTTTGTGTCTTTAATTATTTTAGACACATTAGTCTTCCCATTAATGAAGTAGGTAGAAAATACCTTCAGAAATTTGAAGTTCAGTACTTTTTGCATTATTTCACTGACACTTGACACTGTTTTGTGTTTATCAAAAGCCATTTCTTCTTGTTCTGACAGTAAAGCTAAAGCTAGACCATGATTTTCCCATAAACAGGACCAGATTGCATCTCTGTTCTCATTTCATGCCAAAAGGACAATAGAATCTTTAAACTGTGCATGGATAAACTTAATACGTATATAGTTTTAAATGTTTGCCTCATTGCACATTTAAAAAAAAAACCACACCATAATCTTGCCATGCTTCAGTTGTAAGTAGGTACATCCAGACTGTCATTTAAAATAAAATCATCTGATTTCCTGCTGTCATTTAAAATAGTCTGGCTAACTAAATCTGAAGACATACATAAAGCCATTTGCTGGAATTCAAGTGCAGGACTAAATGTAATACTATCAAGACTTAAAATTTAGATCCTCTTTTGGTTCCAGAATGTTTTAAAAATATCAGAGATGCTATTTTATATATGTGATGCTCAAGAATAAATTGGACTTAGCAGTCTGGACTGCAGTGTGTGACTTTACTGACAGATCTACTTTTCTAAAAGGAGTTGGTCACGTGTTTGCATACTGAACTCTTGGGAAATAGTGTGGAACTCTTATTTGCAAAAAATAATGCTAAAACATCTTGCAGCCCAGAAAGCCAACCGTATCCTGGGCTGCATCAAAAGGAGCGTGACCAGCAGGTCGAAGGAGGTGATCCTGCCCCTCTACTCTGCTCTTGTGAGACCTCACCTGGAGTACTGTGTGCAGTTCTGGTGTCCTCAACACAAAAAGGACATGGAACTGCTGGAACAAGTCCAGAGAAGGGCCACAAGGATGATCAGGGGACTGGAGCACCTCCTGTATGAAGACAGGCTGAGGAAGTTGGGGCTGTTCAGCCTGGAGAAGAGAAGGCTGCGTGGAGACCTCATAGCAGCCTTCCAGTATCTGAACGGGGCCTATAGGGATGCTGGAGAGGGACTCTTCATTAGGGACTGTAGTGATAGGACAAGGGGCAACGGGTTAAAACTTAAACAGGGGAAGTTTAGGTTGGATATAAGAAGGAAATTCTTTCCTGTTAGGGTGGTGAGGCACTGGAATAGGTTGCCCAGGGAGGTTGTGAATGGTCCAACCCTGGCAGTGTTCAAGGCCAGGTTGGACGAGGCTTTGGGTGATATGATTTAGAGTGAGGTGTCCCTGCCCACGGCAGGGGGGTTGGAACTAGATGATCTTAAGGTCCTTTCCAAACCTAACGATTCTATGATTCTATGATTTCCTGATCTCTGTCATCAA